CATCCTGTCCTGATATATACACCAGAAACAGTGAGGACTGTGACCACGAGCAGAGGCTGAAACTTCACATCCCTGTGGGTGCTTATTAATAGAAAATATGTCCCTATTTTGAGCCATATGTTCTGTCTGTGTTACACTTTTAACAGCAGTCATATGTCTGACAAGCTACTTAGCATCAGCAAAAGAACAAAATACTCTGAATTTTTTATAATACATTTTACAGATAAATAGTACTGCTATTATCCTATAAGTCCAGATAGGAAAATAAACATCTCAGCACCCAATATTTCAAAGGTGTATTGGTTTTGCATGGCCAGGTCTTGGATGGGCTGCAGGGGTGGCTTCTGTGAAGTGCTGCTAAAACTTCTCCTGCGTCTGACAAAGCTGATGCCAGATGGCTCCTAGTTGACCCGCTGCTGGCCAAGGCTGAGCCCATCAGCAACAGTGGTAGCACCTCTGGGGGTAACAGATTTAAGAAGGGGGAAAGTTACTGTGCAACTGCAGCTATGAGAGAGGAGTGAGGATAAGAGAACAGTGACTCTGCAGACCCCTCGGTCAGTGAAGAAGGAGGGGAAAGAGTTGCTCCAGGCACCAGAGCAGAGATTCCCCTGCAGCCTATGGTGAAGAACATGGTGAGACAGGCTGTCCCCCTGCAACCCATAGAGAACCCCACGCCAGAGCAGGCGGGTGTGCCCTGAATGAGACTGTGACCTCTTGGGAAGCCCACACTGGAGCAGGTTCCCGGTAGGACCTGTGGACCTGTGGAGAGAGGAGCCCATGCTAGAGCAGGTTTGCTGGCAGGACTTGTGACACCACAGGGGACCCACGCTGGAGCAGCCTGTTCCTGAAGGGTTACACTGCATGGAAGGGACCCATTGGGGCAGTTCATGAAGAACTGCAGCCCATGGAAAGGGCTCACATTAGAGAGGTTGGTGAAGGACTGTCTCCCATGGGAAGAATCCCATCCTGGAGTAGTGAAAGAGTGTGAGGAGGAAAGAGCAGCAGAGATGACATGTGATGAACTGACCCTAACCCCTGTTCCTCATTCCCTTGTATTGCTCAGTTGGAGGAGGCAGAGAATCAGGAGTGAAGTTAAGCTGGGAATCAGGGAGAGGTGAGGGAAGGTATTTTGTTATTTGGTGCTATTTCTTATTGTCCTGCTTTTCTTTGTTAATAATTTGAGTCTGTTTTTCCTGTGATGATAACTGCTGGAGTGATCTTTCCCTGTCCTTATTTTGACCCATGAGCCTTTTGTTGTATTTTCTCTTCCCTTGTCCACTAGAGGGGGAGAGAGATAGAGAAGCTTTGGTGGGCAACTGATGTTCATCTAGGGTCAACCCGCCACAAAAGGAATAGGGTCCTGTTTGCTTGCATATTCACATGTGCTTTTACTAAAGAAAAACATGACCTAAAAGCCATTTGTGATAACAGTGACATTTAAGATGAATATAAAATAGAGTAGTCAAAAATGTGTTTGATGCATGAGGTTAAGGATGAAAGCCTCTGTACTGATTCAGCTAATGAGCCTTGTTTTATTCATCTAATGTTTCTGCTGCCAGGGATGTATCAGTTCTATGACACTTTTAGTGACCTTTCAGGCACAGCCAGGATAAAATGCCTGCAGAAAGGGCAGCCTTCTGCATGCTTTAAGAAACTAGTTTAGAGTCCACAGGGAGCTTTTAGCACAGTCTGGACACCACAGGATTTGCCACCATGAAGAAAGCTTGCTACAAAGAAATTAATGAAATCCTTTTGTGTTGGAGTTCACTTTCTATTACTTCCCTTTACCTACCTTGCAAAGTTTGTTGTTGCATGTAAGAAGCCATTGTATGCCTACAATGAGGTCACAGCAGTACTCTCTGCCCCACTATCATTTGGTTACACACATGGGAACTTTCATAGTGAGTTGAATATAGAAATGTCTCTACGAGCTTACCTTCTTTGTCGCTTGACAATCTGGCTTGTTAACACTCCGTGCAACAATTACTCTGTGCAACAGGGCAAAGCCATAATGCATGAAGACATATTTGGCATGCATCTTTGTCTTGTGCCCACACAAACTCATTTTGCTCAAAGAAATCTTTTTCTTTACACATTGGTTTAGCTTTCTGGAAACAACCCTAAAGTCACCCTCAAGACCTTTTTTACTCCACAACTGCAAAACAGAGTGTCTATACCTGCAGCCTACTAATAATGGTTTACCAGTTGCTTGAAGGGTCTAGGAAAGTACAGAGGAAATAGAAGGCTGGACTAATGTATATAAGCAACCTCTGTAAAGTGACATGGGTTGACAACAGTGAGACACTCAATCCAACACAGGTATTTTCTGACTTGTGATCACATGGATCAAGGGTGACCAAAAAAAAAGAAAATGAGGTGAGCAAGCAACAAACCATATGCAGCAAAGATATGTTCATTTTTTTTTCTACAATCTTTGTATTTGAACAGAGGGGTTTTTTCCTCCCAGCCTAGCATTTCACTTAACAATTTTCTTCATTCTGTGCCTATAAACTTAGTATGCTTCCAAAGACATGATCACATTTTGATAAAGATATCCTGATGGTTATAGACAGTGAATAAGCAGAAAGCAACAAATGACATTTATCTTGATTTTAGCAAGATTTTGATGCTATAGAAGATTTTTAAGAAGGACAGGGAAGTACTGCTCAGATGCAACCATCATAGGTTGTATGCAGAATTGTTTAAAACTCTATTTGAACTGTAGTTAAAAACCAGATGGGATGACATTTCAGATGGGATCCCACTGGGACTTCAGCTAAGGAAATAATTCTCTTCATTATTTTTGTTAACAACAAGGAGGATAGAGGCAAGAACATTTGTAAAATTTCAGATTAAAACAGACTGGAGTTCTAGTGAAGATAGGATTAGAAGTCAAAATGATCTTGAAAAATGACTTGAAATCAAGAAGATGAAATTCAGTACAGATAAGTGCAAAAGAACTCCTGTGGGGAAGAATCAATCATCTTCAAATAAAACATGGACTACTTGGCTAGACCTACAGTTCGTAACAAAACATAAAAATAAAGATCTGATTGTTAAGTGTTTGTACGTTGCTGTTGAAAAAAGAAATTAGGGAAAAACCCAAACCAAACAACACCACAACAAAAAAAAGCACAAGGTAAAAAGGAAACAAACTAAACAAACCAAACAAACCAAAACTGAGTTATTCCAGGTAATGTGTAGAAACTACGGCCAGTTGCCCAGTTAGTCCTGATTTGTGCACTCTACTGTAAGAAAAACCTAAGTAGACTGAGGAAGGATCTTTGGGCTTTGAAATTTAAAGGCTTGGAAAACATGAGCTGTGAGAAATGTTTGAAAGAACTAGGTTTGCTTAAACCTGGAAAAAATAGATAGCATGAAATACCTTTTGAAAATGCTTAAAAGCAGTTGTAAGAGAAAAAAAGAAAAAGAAAAGCTCATTTTCCTTCATATCTATAGGGAGAAAAGGCCAAAATGCAGAAAAGTAGTTAATTTTCAGGAAATTACATTTAAATTAGATATTAGAAGTTAGGCACAGGAAAAAGCAACACAGAGAGACTATAGAACCTCCTTCATTAGTGATACCAGGAATTAATTTAGTAACACGTCATTCTGGGATACGAGTATGCATAATGCTGCCACAGTGAACAGAGTCAGACAAATTATTTCTGCAGGGGCCGTTCTTGCCACTGAAGAACGACTTGATGACAGGCTGAACAAGTGTGTGGTTGCAATGTACTGTACCCATCCATTCTAGTGTTTTGATAGCTCTTTGCTTGCAAAATAAATGGAGGACAGAGGTGTACAAGAATTTGATATTTTTGTACCGTGTCTAGGATGCATATGACTGCTTTGATTAGTGTGGCTAAGTGTGAGACACATTGAGGGGTACCTTAGTATAAAATAACCTTATAAATGCAAGTTTTAAGTATTCAAGCCACTGTGGAGGTTCTCAAACCGAGGGTAGTAATTTTATTTTTTTTGGTGATTTTTACTGCAATTTAGATCCACAAGAAGCTGTCCTCCATCAAAGAACCTTTTCTTTTTTTTCTGCTTTTAATGTACACAGATCCAGTCTGTCAGTAGCAGTGTCCAAGACATGTGAAAAATGCATTTCCATGGCTTTGGCCCTTTTCTATCAAAGTAAAGTCAAATTCGCATTGCTGACATAAGAGATAATTTTTCAGGATTGAGAACTGCCCACGAAGAACCCCTAAAAGCCAATAGCTGAGTCTCCTGGGACAGAAAGGAAGAAAAGGGCACCATTTTACCTGTGCAAAGAAAGTATTATAGCAGAGAAACAGGGGTCTCAAGCTTAGGTGAGCTTGAATTTTCCTGGAAATTGTTTAAAACAAGCGTGCAAAGACCATCAGGAACTTGCAATGGTTTGAATTAATAAATAACTCCCACTCTGCAACCTTCTTGCAGACCTTCAGTGCCTTGAGAGAAATAGGTTTCCTTGCATCTGAGAAGTTTCATCTCTGAAGCTCAGATAAATTGTTCCAACTCTCTGTTCATGCATTTCAATCCAAATGTCAAAGCAAGGAATCAGAGAAACTTCTCTCTCTCAGACTGGGTTTGATCAATGTGTTCCCTCCTCTACATCAATGGTATGACAGGAAGCCAGACACAGTAATCACAGTCAGAATCAATGTATTCATGCCAATAAATAATGGTTTTCAGTATTTGTGGTGTCTGAATAGCATGTTCTTTTGTATTACAGTGAGGTGATCTGCTTGAAAAAGAGGGATGTGTGGCTATTTCTGATGGCTGTTATAAATCTTATATTGTCTTTTTGTGGGTTTAAAAAGGAAAAACGGGGGACTTTGCCTTTCTCTCCTCTTTTAGGCTTTTTCTGCATCTTCACAATTAGCTTGTCTAATTGTAACATTATTAGAGGACTCATCAAAAATAATGTATGTACTGGGTGGTTCTTGAATGATAGGGCCTATCACTTCAGAAAAGATGTTGCTAATGCAAGCAATTTTCCCCCTTTCAGTTGATTTCATAGGTGGATTTGACTCTTACGGCTATCAAGGTCCACAGAAGACATCTCATTTACAACTACAGCCCATGTATATGTAAGTACTTAACTTCTAAGATATTCGGCAGAGTGGCAGGCTGATGTTAAAGGATCATTAAGCTGAAAGATGGCATGACTTAAAAATTCAGAACTCGCAGAAGCCTTTTTTTATGGACTGAATTCAAGCTACACTTAAGCACCAAAATTGCTCTTCTGTTGAATCATAGTGATTTCTTGGGGCAGGATATCATATGTCACAGTTATTCAAATAACACCCAGCTCTCACCTGATTTTTCCCTTTTTTCATTCAAGCAGGTTCCACTCAGAAGCAATGAGAATTCAGTGTAAAAAAAAAAACTAGTCAGATAAGACGAACCCTGGTTGGGAAAAAAATGGGTTTTTAATAAGATTTATCAAAAGTTCAGCAACTTGCTAATTTAGTGGATTCATTTAACATTTGTCTTACCAGAGCATCTGTTCACTGAGGCACTTCTGTATCTGCTTTCCAGTTTCCACATTTAAAAAAACCCAAAACAAATGTAACAACATATGAGTTTTAAAATCAGTTTGAATAGAAGACAGTATTTTACCTAACCAGTGAGTGACAACTCCATCCCAGAGTGCAGCCTGATATATTTGGGAAATCTCCTGATATATTTGGATAATCAAATCTCCGCTCATACACACAACTGGGGTATATTCACACTAGAGCTAACACCCAACTACAGACTACTCCAGGAATAATCATCTCTAAATATTTCTTGTACTGGTGCCAACTGCAACTCAGAACAGTCCTGACTGCCCAGATAAATCTTACCTCACTGCTGCAGCCTTTTGGAATATTTTTTATTTGCCATCAATAACCACACACTAAAAGCATAGCGCTGAAGACTTCACAAAAGGGCAACATTTACTTTTTTTCCTTTGTTTCTCTTCTGAACAGCTCTTTTGAGGAAAATAACTAAATTCAAGCAAACAGTAGGCGTTGCAACATACACTTCCATTCACCCTTGAATGCAATTTCGTTTCTTATGAGTAGTGGAAGCAAGTCTGTTAATTGATTAGTATATTTTTGCATGGAACTGGCATTTACTCCTTTATCGTGGTACAATCAGTCTGCAGTAGTGTTCAGGATTGGGCCCTTTGGGATCTTTATGAACAACTTTTTAATAATCTCAAATTACAGTAGTGCATATCTCCAATGCCGTCTTAACTTCAGCTTCCCATCTGTCTGTGCTCAAGTAAAGATTTTTCACATGCACTTTTGGCACAGTGCTGTGCATTTAGAAAATGTTATTTCCTTCCTAGTATTATATGAAGCACATAGGTACTTAGAACAATTCTAATCCTATTTCTTTCTCAGTACACCATACCTTGTCATCAACATATGGAGCACTCTAGCTGAGATATTATCCCATTCTCTTTATGCTCTCAGTATTTCTTCCAGAAGAACAGATTGCATTTACTGTGTATTTTCATACTGACTGGAAAGAAAGCTAGACCTGTGGAAAAAAAGAAGGCAATATTTTTAAGCTTGTAGCTGAAATGAAGAGATACATGATTAATCCATGCAAACTATGTTCCATCTTATTTCAATGCTGCATTCTCACTGGAGTATAGGTGATTTTACCATCTTCACAGAGAGACAGAAATCAGAATGTGAGCTGACATTTTGCGCAATCAACCCACAAAAGTATTGCCATGTCCCAGCCGCACTCAATGACATTTGACGTTTCCCTCTGACTGTATAGTATTTGACAGGGTTCTCTAGAATTGCTACAATCTGTCCTAAAGAGGCTTTTACAGCATTTAGTAATACCTCTCTGTTTTCTACAGCTGAGGCACACCAGGAACGCATGCATATGTATTCACACTGCACTTGCGTAAATATAGGCAGACCATATCCATATAGCAATATTCATATAACTATTTCCACAACTTTATCAATTGCTAAAAAATATCTTTTAATCTATAAGCAGCAGAAGATATATTAAGCATCATCCCATCTAATTCCTGCAAAAGATCAAGAAAATACAAAGATAGCTTGTTGCCACCTCTTCATCCTTTACTATTCAGGCTCACACTGGGTGCAACTCATGTGGAGCTCTGGATTTATCAGAGAAATAGGAGACACTTGCCTTTAAATCATCTGATTACTAACTATATCCAAAGGCACAATATCAATTCTTTTGTTTTCTGTGCTGTGGTAGTACCTATATGTGTGCTAGGCATGCTGGAAAAGGGAAGAAGATATGGCCTCAGCTTTGAAGAGCTCACCAAAACAATATCAGCTTCTAATGATGTACAGATTCTGTCAACATATAAATTTCCAAATGTAGTTCAGTAATATAGCACAGAGAAGCCCTTATATATTTACCAGATCAATTCATATACAGAACTAGTACAAATCTTAAAGACATACAGAATTGTGTAGTAGGTCTCAGTCATCATCCATGTACTGCTTGCTGATGTGAATTGATTTAGAGGATTGCACTGACAGAATTCCATCAACACAAACTTTTATTTCTATTCAAGTTAGACAGTTTTGCATCCAAATCAATTTTAACTGTCTTATACATGAACGATTTAATTATTATCCTGAAGGAATGCTGGGTTTAGTAATTGCTAACTATTAAGACACACAGTTTTGTAACCAGTTTCATCCTGTGTGCTGAAGTTAGCACTTCATTTTGTTAATTTGGAGGTTTTATTGAACCTACACAAACTCACACATGCAAATAATTATATTGATTTATTCAGACTTCTTATGTTTACATTTCTATTGTGTCAGGACTTTTTTGTCCAAAGATTTATTATTTTTTATTCGTGATATCAATCAAGTTCTACTTATAGGAACATTCCAATTCAGTTTAAATGCACTCAGTATATTTGTGTGGAATTTCATCAGTTATGCAAAACTACTCTGAATGAAAGGATACTTACAGGAAAAAAAATCTTGATTTATGAAAAAGAAACATTATCTGTAGATAGTGAATTGAGGTGACTATCTCTGGCTACTATTTCCTTGAGTACTCTAGAAATATTAGATTTGGGCTCACTTTGGGGTGTTTTCTCTATATTTTAGGCTTTTAGTTGCAATCACAATTCTCCTTATCATCTCTTCCAATTTCATATTTATTTTAAATAAGTTTACTTTTTAAAGAGAAAAATATATTCAATTTAAAATTATGTTTTAAATAAAACACTGATGTTTTTGGGGAGAATTCTTGTTGTGACATTTATCTACCTGTTATAAATCAGGTTTTTTTATTATTTAAGTGCCAACAGCGTGCTCTATGCTGTACAAGCCAAGAAGCCTAGACAGTCCCTTCAAAACGAATATGCTTTTTGAACAGAACGGGACAGAACCGATGCTCATGTACCTCCTTGCAGTGTGGCCACAGCTGATGTACTCAAAAGCAGCTTCCTGGCATTCTGTGCCGGAGATGCCAGTGCTCATTTCCAGACCATGGGAGAAGAACACAATAAGATGGCGGAAATCAGTTGACAAGAGAAAATTCTGCTCTTGGGAGGTGATCGAGGAAGGTGACTAAACACTCCCTGACACTGATTCTGCTGCACATGAAAAAACACAGTTGTAGTTGTGGAACAAGACTGCACTGCATGATCACTGTTCTTCTAAAAACACTAGGAAGGAGGGAGGGGAGAGAGATCTTTCTTTATGTTCTTCACAGTAAACTTGTTTGCTCAAGAAAAGAAGAAGTGAAGCAAAAAAAAAAGCATGCGTGTCTGATGCTGATGCCTAATGCACTGACGAAATTGCTCAAAAGTAGTGTAGCCCAAAAGTAAAGTTTGCTTTCCTCCCATTGTGAAGTCTAAGAATATTTGCAATATATATACTCACATGCGCGCGCACACACGCACACACACACACACACACACACACACACACACATAGGTATTTGTCTAGATAATTGCACATACTGAAGGTGCTGCCTACTTTACCATTCACTTAAAGTAGAAATGAAACACAAAAAAGACACTAAGACCGGCAGCTCACGTATAACCACCATGACACTCAGCAAGTTCATGCAGCAGAAATCTGCTGGGTAATGATGTCCTCATGTTTGTGGGATTCAGATGTCATGGACAACATTTCATTTAAATAAACTACCAGCTAAGCTTTGATTATGAACAAACAACATCTTGTCCATTTTAGACTGAAAGCTTTTGTCACAAAACATGGGTTTGGGACAACACTGTTAAGGTGTACAGGGCTGTGGCACTTGCACATGCACCCTGCTTTGCGAGCGAGCCAAGGGTGGCTTTCCCCTGCTCCTGCAATTCAGCCCTTCTGTCCTCATACTGTGTCACTTCTTGTTTTTGCAGAGACAGCTACATATCTGATGGATTGTATGTCAGGTCATCTTCCAGTTGACCCGTGGATATATAGTTAAGATTATAATTAAATATAACTCCTATCTAGGATTGTTTAGAAAACCTGTGCTGACTTCTCTGACGGTTTTCCAGAGAGAGACGAGCAGCTCCCTGAGCAAATACTTTGTCTTTCTGTCCACTTCATCCTATGTGTAGCTGAACTGTTACTGGTTTGTTGCTTACACTTGCTTGCAAAGGGGCACCAGAGCAGCAGGGCAGGGATCAGATAGGTATATGGTGGATTATAAGTATTGTCCTTTTTCTGTCTTTCTTCTAGGTCAAAGTAAACATGGGGAGTACCCAAGGTGGGCTGGAAGGCCACTGTCAAAGAAACTGTTTCAGAATGGCCTCCTGATTCTTCAAAGAGAAAAAAATCCAATTTTTCTGCTAAAAGAAGAATATAAAAGCTGGTTGAACAGTGAGACAGAAAACAAGAGACTTTCAGCCCCTCTTTCTAACAGGTACTAAAGGAGATGCCCCAGACCCCCACCTTGGACCTCCTGCCTCCCAGCACCAGAGGACAGAGCAGAGGCATTGGTGCCATCTTTTATCTCTTCCCTACCCCGGCCACCGCCAGTGTGACCCATCTGGATTAAGACATGAACTCGGTGCTTTTGGAGCCTCCTTCATACTTCTGGCCTCATCAAGTCTCCTTAGTCAACACGACACTGAAATACCAGGATGACCTTGCAGCAGAAGTCAAAAGACAGCGCATTGTTTGCCCTGAAGGCTGTACAGTTCATACTTGCCTTAACCCAACTGCATTGCACATTAGAGAAACTACGTGCAAGCTTTCTGAAGTTAACATGCTGCTGTTAATTCTGAACAATTTCTAAGTCAGTGGTTTTCTTCTGTTTCGTTTTGCTTTGTTTTCGTGTCAGGGAATAAGGCTCTGTTGCTCCACGGCTCCAGAGTGACCAAGTAGAAAACTGCCAGCTGCCTGATAAGTGCTTTACTTTTGAGACTCCACAGTGGTCAAGAAACAGTTTATAATGATTAAAAAGAAAAAGAAAGAAAGAAATAAGACCTTTGGGGGGTCAGGGTGAGGAAAGGGGTAACATAAACTAATAATTGAACCTACTGGAAATACGCAGCAGAAATAGTTCTTTAATCCCACTGGTTTTATTTATCGCACTGTAGGTGCTTTTATAGCTATCTCTAAACGTCTTTTACTAACTACAGAGACATCTGCAGATTTCTATCAACAAAGGCCAACTGAATATGTACTAGCTACATTTAGTCTTTTATATGTAATTTCAACTAAAAATTCTCTCTAAGTGAGCTTTTTTTTTTCTAATTGCACCATAAGGGATCCACATATTTTATTTTTTGATTTCAGTTGGAGAGGGCGGGGAGGCACTAGTTGAGTTGAAGAAATATTGAAGACCTTTTTGGGGTATGTTTGGGGGATCTGTTCTGTGTTAGAATGTGTATTTTATCTTCCTGTATTATTGTGGCTGAAAAAAAAAAAAACTGTGCTGTTACGTAGTTGGCAACAAGATGCCTTTGGGAATTTTGCTAGTAGGTCAATGTGTATATGAAATACTCTGAACTCCTAGGAACATATGTTTTATTCTACATCTGATCTGTATTTTCAAGAACATAGGTGGCTTTCACTAGGAAAACCCAATACTTTGCTCAGGTTTTTCAGAAACTTGGATTGTCATTGTTTCTTTGCTCAGACCTTGCATAGACAAACGCACGCACCTACCACACATGAAGTGACCACGTAGGTTTTGAGGGCAAGAGGAAAGGTCAACACTTGGAAAAGCTTGAGGTACACCTGAGCAACTCCCTTTTCCTTGCTGGCCAAGGCCTTGCTCCAAAGGCCTGTGCGCTCACACCACTCACTCATCCCTGTACAAACCAGTGCCCTTTGCTGTGTCTGCATGGATGTACAGTGTCACAAGCAGCAACTCTGGACAATGACAGAGGGACAGTGAAAGCAAGATATGGGACATGTTCAGGAGCTATGCTTACATTGATTCAGTGAGATTTATATAGATAGATAGATAGATATATGTAAGTGTGTGAATGTGTGTGTATGTCTATGTATATAAAATACACAGGAATAATTATTGTTGGGGGCTGCATCACCCAGGAAGATTCTGATGCAGTGGACCAAGGGCTCCTGTCTCAGATACTGCTGGGAATTTCCTGCATGAAACAGGCACGTACCCTAGGCCTGATCCCATAAAGCATTCACTGCTGATTTGGATCTCAAATTTAAATTTTTGTACTTGGGGACCTGAAATTCTGAGTTCATTCTGGATAGAGCTGCTTTTCACCCCCTGGAAACCCCATGCAACTTCCAAGTGCCAGGATGAAATTTCCCATAACTTGAAAAATTTCAAAAGTTTCTACTTTTATGTAGTATTAAATATAGCAGATGTATAGAATTAAACATAACACAGAGGTTTAAATGGAATGAAAATGTCATAACAGCTTCTTTTATCTTTCCCTGTATACCAGTTAATCAAGATGATATTTCTATAAAAATCACTTTTTAACATGAAAAGAAACCAGTTTAGGCACCTAAGCAGCAATCCAATTTTCAGATGATAATTTTTCATACCTCTCAGTGATTTCCCATGGAACAGCAGCTACTGCTAGTTAGCAATTTTAGAAGTCAGACAATTTAATGAAGTGTCTACATGTAGTTTATAGGCCTGATTTTAATTTAGAAAGTTTTGGCCTTAGTTTCTCTGTGTCTTAGTCTTCCCATCTATAATACGGGAATAATATGTGCCTCACAGGCTTTTTGTGAGGTCTGAATTGTTAATGTTTGTAAAATGCTTAGGAAATAGGAAGCACATCTAAACTACTACAGACTGCAATATAAATGTGTATTCATATATTACATATAGAGTAGATACACACACTCGCTTACACACAGTATACATATATATATACGCATACTTACCTATACGAAGTTGGTATTCGTAACCCTGCTTAAATTGCAGTTGGAGCACCACCATTTAAAAAATTAGGACTGTTGACTACTCAACTAAATGATTAGTGGACAGATCTCTTCTGGAAGCAGTTTAGAGCACAGTAATGTGAGAATATCTGGATGGCACTTTTGATTTGTACAGCTGTATCCTCCTCAAAAACCAGTAAAGAATGTTATTTTTCTAGGCTGGGCTTTTGTTATAAACTAAAATATTCAGAAGGCAAGAGATACAATCCAAATGTGGTTTTTTTTCTTTTCTTTTCTTTTTGGCATTTGTTAATTCCGAATGTATTTTTAACAAAAGTGATTTTTTTGACTTACTAGTGTAATTTGCATTTTAAAAAAAATAAATGGAAAAAATATAGGTTTCCAAGCTATTCATGGCCCCCTGCTGCTATTCACAACTTACGGGAAACTTAGAATTACTGTTACCAGCTGAGCAACAATGCAGGATAAATAATCCTATTACATTTACATGATGACAGTCCTGATCTGTGCAGTGCATGGATGTGACAGCACTGAATAGAAATTGCCAGGTCATGACACCATTTTAACACTGTCATATGTAGCAGGTATTTTCATTATCACTGACACTAAAAGGTTTCCTTTACAAGGTTGACTGCAACAGACTCTTCACTTAGGAAGCAGGGCTGGTTTTGTGCACTCATCAGGAATTTTAAGCCTATGATAGGTATACAGTGGCCAACAGTGTTAAGTATTACAAAAGTAATCCTTTTTAAGAAGGAGCTATGTAACATGGATATTTCCACTGCATTAATATTCTTTTATATGCCATTTATTGTCCCTACACTGAAATGAAGAAATATTGTGAAATGTTTATAGAGTTCACACATATATGCCTGAGGTCATTTAATAAAGGTGGAGCAGAACAGTATACATTTTGAGATAGTCGGTCATACTGTCTTAAGTCCTTAGAAAGAGAGTGTATTAATTAATGTCATTAGGATTTTTTAGACCTTCATTATAGTGCAAGTGATACTTTTCAGTCAGGTAAGGAGAAAAGGTTTGTGCTCCATTTGCTTAATTTAAGTTTGCAATACTGTACTGCTGCACAGAATTTTGGCAAAGTCTAGCACAGTATGTATTGATTCCTGGATGTCTCCAAATAAGAATGGCTATTAACTCAGTGTCTGAAGGTTTTGATCACTTGCACGCTTACCTTCTGTTTAAGCACATTGTTAGTAGCCAGAGCAAAACTCCATACACCATGGACCCTTCCAGCCCGTAATATTTTCATTGCCAGTCCTCTGTTCTATTTTTAAATGCAAATGCTCAAAGGATGAGGATTTTTCCACAAAGATGGAAAGGCCCATGAATAGTCTATGGGTATGTATTGCTTGCTGACTGTCTACTGATGAGTAGCTGAGGTGAAATTGATGGACTTTTTTTCCAGCTAATCTGAATCTGGCTTCTTCCCAGCACTTGTGGATTGGTGACAGACACTAAAGGTAAACCAGGTTTTATTGAAGAACCAATGCATAGCAATACTGCAGACAGCGCTCTGCCCACTTCTCCTCAGAGAAAGATGTAGGCAGTTGTTAGGCTAATTGGTCTGCTCCAAACTATGTGCAATATTAAATGTAATTACCATGCATAAAAGAAAGTGCCCTTTAGACTGCAGTTACTCATTCATGTATAGAAGTGGTGCAGCACAGAATGAATCAGTAAAAGAGCTTTTCTTCCTGTAGTCACTAATATGCTTCATTCCCAGACATAGATTGGAAAAATCAGCTCTGTTTGATCTCGTGTTGTGACAAGTTGCTCTGTTCAGATCTTCACCAAGAGAGGCAATTGCAGCTAGTTAGAGTTGTGACCTTTGCATGGCTGAGAAGAAAGATATTGTACGAAATGTGAAATTCTAAGTAGCATCATATATACATTTGTTGCACATCTCTCTCCATATGTACAAAAGAAAGGTCTTTTAAAATGAACTTTTCCTTTATCTCTCAGAAATCAACTGAGACAGATAATGTCTTTCATAAGGGTCTTCCAAATTCTGCCAAGATCACTTCAGAGATTTTTTTTTCTTGTGTCCAATAAAAGCACCATCTTTCCTGCTCTCTGTTGAGTAGAAGACTTAGCTCTTGGGACTTCCAAATGCCTTGGGATTATTATTTTGGATAGATATGATCACTGTGAAACATAAGAATTAAAAAAACTAATGTTTGTGGTCATCCCTGATTCAAAATTAATTCTTCTGTACAAAAACCATACTTTTGCATCCACCACTGGAAAAGGGTCTTTGCTGCCACCTGTTACCTAATCACTTTCCTAGCTTTGCCATTGTCCTGCTGGGAAATAGGCTATGGGGAGCTAAATATGAAGCAGCATGTTCATATTCAGCATGTGCTCTTCAAGAGTCTCCAGTTCTGCCACACAGAATGCTATTTCATATGTATTAAATTTATTTCTCCCTGTCACCATCTTCTTGTCCTATTATCACTCTCCCCATCTTCCTGAACACAATCCCAAATACTCTCCCAAAATTACATACTTCTGTTTGGAGCATCCATTGTTTCCAACTGTTTACATAATGATGGTGATGACAGTCATGGAGGACAGTATCACTGTGGATATCTGCAAAATGACAAGATGACGAAGTACAAAGGTCCCAGATGCAGGGAGACACTTAACAGAAGGGTAAAGGGTGGCAGCATTACAGAAGCTATGAGGTACAGTGAGTCCCAGTAGGAATCATTTTTACATGTGCAATTACTTTTGCCGAAGCTATAGTTCATTGAGCACGTAGACAGTCATAAATATCCAGAGCTACAAAAGGCACAGGTGAACCGGAAGAAAATTCTTAGAAAATGTGTTTGTGAACATGTTGACTGGATTAGATTCACATTTCAAACTCTTGAAATTTGTCTCAGGGTTGTTTTTTCCCTCTTGTGAACATTTGGATGGTTGGTTTCTGTGCACGCAGGTGAATGTTTGTTCCTAGGAGAGCATGTACGTATGTGCAATTGAATTCATTTACATGGGATTCTCAGTATCCATGCATCTATGTGCTTTTGTGTAAACGTTGGCTCAGTTCACTCTGTCACACATATCTACACACAAACATATCTGTTATGTGAGTATATTTTATGGTGGGAATACAAAACCACCTACAGTTTCCCCCTCTTTCTACATAGCTTTTCCTATCCCTCCTCTCAAGAGATGCAAAGTCTCAAGTATTTATTTTTTAGATGGGCATTCAGTATACAAAAATTATAATTTCTGATACTTACTGGATGTACAAACATGGTGCAATCTATGAACACAGTAAATAAGACAGTCCTTTCTGCAAAGAGTTTATGTTTTAAATAAAGTAAGCAAATGAGAACATTTTAATTTAAAAAAAAAAAAGAAAAAATATGATCTCAGTGTCTCACTGCTGTTAAATTTGTTAAATTTTAATTAATAAAAAAAGTGTGTGCCAAAAAATTTCAGAAAAAGAAGAGCAGGGAAATGAGAACTTGGAGTATGGTTATGAGGTGATATGATTAGTTTAAGCATGTACGTATGAGAATTGGGTAAAAGAATAAGCCAATTATATCTTGCTAGATTATCCAATTAATTTATGATAGCTCCACATAGTTATGTATTATTTTATAGCCTACATCTTAAAAGCATTTAAAACAGTAGCTTTGGAAGAAGAACAACATCAAAGAGACTGCATATTGATGCAATCACCAAAGGTTGATGGATTGATTCAATTAATCAGTGAGTCATTTCTAAGAGTTCTGCAGGGATTTATTTACCAAATGCTTACATTGTTTATTTTGCTCTCTGGAGGGTTTGTGTACTATCATTTTTCTTCATTATTCTTCTTGTTTCATTCATCAATTTCAGACAAATGTTTTCATGCTGATATGGCATGTTAGGCATGTAAATTGTCCATATTTACTGATTTAAAGCAGTACACTCCAAACTTCAAGTAGCTGAGAACTTCTGTTTATTTCCCTCAGGTCCTGAGAAATACTAGCCATCTATAATTAGTATAAAGACACGTTTCCCATTTAATCTTTGCTTTCAATGTCTGCTCAACATGACAAGGATGTAAGATCTTGTCTAGCATAACATGCAAGTACCTGCTTAAACTTTAGACACAAACTTACTATGAAAAATATTTTGAGTGCTGTTAATACTAAATAGAATATCTGTTCCATGTTTGGTTTGTCCTTATATTTTGTAGTTCAAATCCAGGAAAACAATGCAAGAGGGTCAGCAGTTTCACTATCTTTTCCATAAGTTTAGATAACTTTTTTACAAGGGCATGTAATGATAGGACAAGAGGGAATGGCTTTAAACTGAAAGAGGGCAGGTTTAGATTAGATATTAAGAATAAATTATTTCCTTTGAGGATGCTGAGACATTGGAACAGGTTGCCTAGAGAAGTGATGGATGCCCCATTCCTGGAAGTGTTAAAGCCCAGATTGGATGGGGCTTTGAGCACCCTGGTCTAGCGGAAGGTGTCCCTGCCCATGGCAGGGAGGTTGGAACTAGAAGATCTTTAAGGTCTCTTCCAACCCAAAACATTCTATGATTCTGTGATTTTCTATTTTAATATTGTCATAGTATGTGCTTCAAAGAGAATACACAGAAATGGTCCAATTAGATCAAATTGGATTACAAAATAGTAGATATTGAGCACAACAAAGGTCTGTGAAGGATGAAGAACTGAAACCAAGAGGAAACCATTATTTGATAGAACTGAGTCTCATTTGAACAAATATTTTTATTTTAAACTATCAGGAATACTGAACCTCTAAATAAAAATTTAAAAAATTATCATGTGTTATTGCATACATATATGCAATGTGGGTGTCATTTTCAGGCATCTTTGGCACTGGTCAAAATCTTACTTCACTTTTAGGTGAGTGGGAACAACTTGTCATGAAAAGTAAAAGATAAAAGATCACAGTCCTAGTGACAAGAGTCATGGCAGCCTGCATCATGTGACAGCCTTCCCGAGTGGATTTAGAAAACACCACCCTACCTATTAAACTGGAGGGCGTCAAAGGGATGGATGCAAAAATATGAAAGTACAACATTTAAAGACTAATGAAGATGTTAGCAGAATGAAATCATGGTACAACTCTGATTGCATACAACAATGTTGTGATGCAAAGGTAGTGGTGGGAGACTGACAGAACGCAGGGTAAAATGTGAGAGAAAATTGTGTCAGCATGAATGAGGGGCTGAGCTGTATACCCCATACCCTGGGCTGACTGAAAGGAGTAACAGGCCCTGGACTGCATGAATGACAATGCTGTGCTGCTTCTTGTGTCTGCAAAGATGATCTGGCATCAAGAAAGGCAGCACATGTTCACATTTTGGGTGGTGGTAATACACAGGCAATGATTTCAGAGAGCCATATAAGATACAGCCAGCATTATTTTCCTCTATTCATTTTTCTGTTTATTGGGTTTGTTTTCTTCAGATATTTTTCCAATCTTGAAAATAGTTGCTAGAATTCTTGTTATCAGCTTTATTTTTCTATCAACAATCACTATGCCCTTCTTTCTGTGAAATACAAAAATTACACACCCTAAAATAATATGGGCTATTGTCTTAGTTACAACATTTTTAGTTCAGTCCCTTGGTCTGGATTATAACAGACAGATGGAGATAGATACTTCTTAGTGATACCCAGTGACAGGACCAGAGACAATGGGCACACACTGAAACACAAGAGGTTCCCTCTGAATATCAGGAAAGACGTTCTTACTGTCGAAGTCACCAAGCACTGACACAGGTTGCCCAGAGAGGTCGTGGGTTCGCCATCCTTGGAGACAGTCACACCTCAACTGGACATGGTCCTGGGCAACCTGCAATAAGTAGTTGTTGAACTAAATTATCACCACATGCACTTTCCAGCCTCCAACCAT